GCTAATGCTTCACCAGGGGTGGCACTGAGCTGAGATATGCAGCGTGCAAGTTTACTTCTTTTTCAAATATAAACTCAGCACAAATATTAGGAATAAAATCCATAAATTGGAGCTGTGCCCAAACCTCATCTAGATAAACTGTCCATACAGGCATAGTTCATATTACAGTAATGAGAAAACTAATTGCTAGAATCCAATGTTTCCCTATAACAAATCCAGATGGGTCTGTCTAATTCTTTTCAGACACAGTGAGGATGAAGCATATATTAACAGGTCAGAATAGAGAGCTGCCTTGTACTATGCAAACCCAAACATCTCCATTCAGTGTATTTCAGTGGCAAATGAATTCCCAGGCTATTTCAGTGAATGGTACATTATATTCAGCCAACAGTAAGTAACATTGTAGCAGACAACATACTTGGTGTAGAAAACCTGGGAGAATTGACTACTATTGCAGAGCTCTAAAATAATTTTCTATTTCAGCAGACTTGCTCTTGCAGTTTATGTATAGCTAGTACACGTTATTTATCACTTTATCTTGAGACAAATACTGATATTCACAGACTTCAAGGGGAAGTGGGTACCTAAGATGAGTCGCTCAGATGATCAGTGAGGCTGAGAATCTCAGACTCGGTCACTAGCCTCTGCCATACCCTGTCTCCTGATGGAGAATTGCTAAATTATGCTCCCCAACCTGCCAAATACTTCCCTCCCCCCCATGATAATGGTAAGAGAAATTGTAACTTACTTGTTTTAATGCTCTCCAGGGTCTAGCAGACACTTAACAGTTTCATGGCTGTTGAAAAACTGGAGCTTGAAATTACTTTATACTTGTAATCCAGCTACCCTTCATTTTTTTCTGTTTATTAGCTTTCTTGATGGATTGTTTGAGTTTCCAACATAGCTGAGTTTCAGTACAATCAGGCTGTTACTCAGTGGGAATTGCAAATGTACATAACTGTTTATGTACTCTAAAGCAAAGTAAATTTTAAGAAGCATCCTTGCTCTCAGTGCATCACGAACTAGCACATTGCTTGGCATGTGGTAGAGGTCACAACCAGCAACTTTGCAACTTTCTTACCAATTTCTAATGCAAGTGAAAAATATGGTGGTTCTTCCAACTTAAAAATTGCTATGAGTGGTCAAGTCTCTGCTTGTAAACAGGCTTTTCTAAAGCACATATATTAGGTACTAACAAAGACAACAAGATGGTCTGGGCTACCACTTACTCTTTTTCCTTGCTGTACGTGACAGCGGTGTTAAGCATGGGAACAGACTGATGAAATGATGGGGATGCTGCTTTCCTCCTGTGCTTGTGATGTATTATAATGGATGTCATGATTTCAGTCTATTAAAGGAATGTGATGATGGAAGAAACGGTGTAGACAAGTATTTTAACTACCTAGCTTATTCCACCCTTAAAGCAGGAATACAAATTGAATTTTGCTTTTCACAGTCCCCCTTCAGCATACTGAAGCAGGCTGCAGAGTGGGGTTCCTGTACGAGAGTGATCCTGTTATTATCATGGTGTCAAATACAACTCAAATTCTAATCCTAGCAGGGTTAGCCCCTGCCCCAGTGCATTACTGACTGGCAGAAGCATGCAGTGGTAGATAAACCGGTCCTTTATATATATGCTGTTTTCATCTACCATGCTTGACCTTGTTCTCAAAGCCTCAAATGAGTAGTTGGGTTTTTTGTTTGTTTGGTGGTGTTTTGTGTGTGGTTTTTGTTTGGTTTTGTTTTTTTTTTTTTTTTTAAGTGACCAGCTATTCTGCTGACTGGCAGTCTTTTCTCCCCTTCCCCACAACACCCACTGTCTCTTCTGTACATAGCATGAAGGAACATCATGCCTTTCAACAGCAGTGAACTGTTAGATCAGCTCAGTCATCTCACAAAACTTCACCTTCCTATTTACTTAGTGAATTGTCATGCCAAGAAATGAGTTGCACCATTCTGATCATGCCTCAACTTGAAATCGGTAGCAGGCAGTCCAGAGGCTGCGCGAAGACTTGCCTATTCCATGATTAGAAAAGACACAGCATGGTTCATGGCTCCACAAGCCAAGCAGAAGTCAGGCAGGCACCTGCTCTGTACTCCTGGCAAATGGATGAGGGCTCATACATCTCGCTGGACTGAGGCTAGGCTGGCTTAATGGACTCGCTTTAAAATAAAAAAGAGTAAGTATTTTCACACTTGGAAAGACTAGGTCTCGGGATTCCCCTCTTCATGCCTGTTTTTACCATACTGTACCACTCTCCCTCAGAAACAGCCAATTTACTTTATCATTTATTCCCACGCTGTAGCAGGCATGACCAGCACTGCTACTCGCACCTATCCCTTACGCAGGAAGCACCAGACAACCTGCCCCAGGCAAAGCATGCATGGGACGGCAGATTCTTTTCTGACATAATTTCTGTAATTGTGCAATTTGTTTATGGCTTTACTGGCAAAATGCTGCTGCTGAACCTCACTTCTAAAGTAGCTGAGCTTTGGCAAATGCTTGGTATCTCTTAGGAGGAGTGCTGTCTTATGCCTCTAAGAACAGGCGCAACTGGAGATCAAGTCCTAAATGCCCTGCTTCCATCCGTTACCGGAAAGGAGCCAAGCAGCAAACTGGAGAGTAAGTCCTCACCTGCCCTGCTAGAGCAGCCTGCATTAATGGAGTACCAGCCTACTAGCACATTCTGTTTCCGAGTGCTCATAACCCTCTTTACTGTATTTCTGAAGGCAGTGATTAGTTGGAGAAAGCCTTCCAGATTCTTCTTTCTAACCAGTCGCACATCAGGTAGATGCTGCAGCACTTTTTTTTTCCTTCCAGTGTATTCAGTCAGCTGCTTAGTTGAGCAACAAATCTGCTGTTTCATGAATAGTTAATCAAGGAAAAGGAAATTTTAAAGGAATATGGAGAACAGCAGCTCAAGAACGATGCACTAGAGAGTTTTAACTGGTAGTTTGTTTCATTGGAAAAAAAAAAAAAGAGACTTGTAGCTGGGCGACAAGGGGGAGAGATGATGCTCAAACCCCTTCTCTTAAAGTGGTCTATTGACTGTGTTTTTATATCAGCAGAAGGCTGGGTCTGGCTCCAAAGGTATAAAAGGAACAATTACCTGCATTTTCTAATTCTGCAAATACTTCCAATTGCTGATATGACCACAGAAGTAAAAAAAAAAAAAAGTGAATTAACATTGAAGTCACTGCTTGTTTACCTTCTACTTTCCAAAAAATGTACCTTCACAATGCCCCTTTCATAAAGCAGAAATGTTTATTACCACCTGCTTTAAAGTACCTTCTTCCCATTTTCTGCTCTGAGAGATTCATATTTTGTACACTTTTACTGCTTTTAGTTTACACAGTTCTTATACCAGAGCCAAAACCAAGAGAAAGGAAGATTGTATTTTTTTTTTTTAATCGGACTAAACTATAGGTTATCTTTGAAGGAAGAATTATGTTCCATGTTCCTGATTACTATAGATTCAGCATGTTCCTTGTGCTTTTCACAATAAGGAAAGACCCCACATTGCCGGTTTTCCTTATGCTGAAAACAAGCTCACAGAATGAGGAAAATATTTATAATGCAGTAGGAAGTGAGAAGGGATGTTTATTTGGCTTCACTTAAAGACTGTAAAATCACATCCTACTTAGCAACTTGAATGATCCACCAAGAGAATATTGGAATTATTACCAAAAAAAGAGTAAATATTTACCAGAAGTTAACCTCAGACATGTTAGGAAAGAACATGTTATTTTATTATTTGCTATACAGGAGGATAAGCTGTATCAGGTGTTTAAATAACATTGCTGATATTAAACTTGAATGTTATTATATGGGGCAAGAGTGAATTCTGTAAGTTTTACTGTGTCAAGCTGCATTTGGACATAAAATGTCTATACAGAAGTATTTACAGTTTTAAGTAATCTTAAATGGATTAATATACTGTTGACCTGCTATGTTTTGAAAATCACTATTTATTATAAGGGAAGCATGTTTTGATGTTAGCAGATTGAATTGATTCCTGGTCACTACAACCGTAGAGCTAGTAGGTCTAATCTCCAATCTGTATTTGTGTTGAGAAAAAAGTTTAACACCCCCTCCCACTAGCTTTCTAAGAATTTCTCTCTCCAGTAATTTGATGCCAAGTCTTCAGCAGTTCTTACTTACCACTTAAGTGAAACTACTTTAATTAAGCTTTACCACAGGCAGTCAATTTGACCTCAGATTCTTTTAAGCCAATCCATTTGCTGTGAGGTCCATCAGAAACTATTGATGTGTATTAGGAAGTTAAGTGCACTGGAAAGAATTACATTCCTCTGTTAATCCTGGAACTGCTCCTGGCTGAGTATACCTATAGACTCTAAGACTCAAATCTGTGCCTACAGTAAGCAAACTCTGGACTAATGCAAAAGCACAAAGTACCAAGCCAGCCTTCTTTTCTACCTGCTGTATTTCTTGGTCTAATGTGTCCTCCAATTCAAACTTCTTCAGTACAGCAAAATTATGAAGACATCAGCTTTCAAGACATTCAGGTGCAGATGGAACTTTGTGCTGTGTGCAGATAGTTAAGTCCTTATCCTCTTGAAAAGGGAAAATGTAGTTTGGGCCAGATCCCCATCAAACCAATTTGCTTTGCCTATTCCTTTCTCAGGGGAAGGTTGGAAGTAAACTAATTCATGAGGTCTGTGATATGATACATTCAGCCTGCTCTTACCCACCACCTATTTCAGAGCAGACACCTTTACCTGAATATAAATGCCTTGTAGAAAGATCAAGTTTAACATGCAAGAGGGTTGCTGTGTTTCCCAAAGATCGCCAGGAAAGACAGTAGTCAAGACTAGGCCAGAAAAGTTAACTCAGCAGGCCAGAATTTGAGCCATTCTGTAATGCAGCAAACAACTGTTGGTTCAGTTCACATAAACTTTCAAGCCCTGTTCCTTGTCAAACAGGTAAGAAAGACTTTTAATAATTTGTTTAGCAAAAAACACAAAATTCAGCACTCAAGTTTAACTAAAGGGTAGTTTTTTATTCCCCATTATGACAGTCTCAAGGACATAACTAAATGTTGGAAACCCCACAGAAGGGCACATACAGTGAATGTGGCGAAGTAGAATGTGAACAGCCCCAGGGGTTCAAATAAGGTAGGACCATTAGCTAACCAGAGGAAAAAAAACAAATTAAAACTCTGCTGAAGATGTTGCACTTTCTTCTCCATTTACACTGAAAAAAAGTCAAATCCAACAAAATCTTTGCATCTCTAACAATACATTCAGTCCTGGCTAAAGAGTTTAACAAGATGGCAACAGGATGACTATAATACAAAACGTTCACTACTACACTCTGTACACACCTGTTGTCCAAGCCCTCCCCCAAACCCATGTAATGATGGTGCCCCCATTATTTGCTTGCTTGCTGGGCCTGCCTGCGGAGGAGGACGTAGATCTTCTCCTTTATCCAGTCTTTATTGTATGGTTGGTATGTCTGAGTATCAGCACGGTAACTAGAGAGAAAAAAAGAATTAATGTACTATCAGTCTGCCCTGCAGGAAGTTTACCAGAAGAGCTTCCCAAACAAGTGTCCTCAAGCATATGAGGCAGAAAGTTGTGTACAGAACACAAGTAATATCAGTAGATGGGAATTGCCACTTAGCAAACAGATTTATCCTGATCCCTAAAAACCAGTTACCCAGCAGATCAGTAAGAACCTGAAATAAAACTAGATGCTCCAAGGACTGAGTGACTGGATCACAGTGCATTCACATTTTAGTTCATGAATATAATTACTTATGAGAGACAACAAATAGAGCACCTTAATGTTCTGGAGCTCAGAATGAAGAGTAGTTCTACCAGGAAACTATCTAATTTGTCTTAATGAGCCAAACACTTCTTCAACACTACTTCATGCAAGTGTTCCACTTCTGTTTGGAATTTTTAGAAAATGAATAATTTTCTAAAATGAACAATTTTCCAGCAGCAAAGGTAGGCTCATAGATGGATGACAGAGGATTCTTGCTAGTTCGCAGTGAGGGCAAGCTTATGTCTAACAAACAAGGACCCTTCATACAAATCAAACTGAAATCAAGAACCCACAGACTCATTTTCTCTGCTACTCCCAGATAGTTGATAAAAGTAGTCCACTAGCAAGATTTCTTTCCGGGGCCAAAGAACTCAGTTACTCAAGACATTGCTGAATTGAAGCAGAATTAAACTGAAAAATTAAATCAAATCATGTGAAGTTATCTGTGTAGATTCACACCCTCCTTTCCCCCTTAAAGTTGAATGTTTTATTGATGAACGTGGTACTTTCAGTGAATGCTTCAAGAACTACTGAAGTCCTGGTCAGTTTTTAAATCTTGGTACAGATATTTCTAATCAGGTAAGAAGGGTGAGATTGTCATTGGTAACAAGCTAAGTAAAAATCCAGAGATAACTTAATCCAGAACGATTTACAGTCCTTACCTGAAGAAAAAACTCTAAGCATATAGTTTCTAAGAAAGCTTTGTTATTTAAACCCCAGCATGACTGGTTCAAGGCCATATAGAGTTTAGGTATATACTGATACAGTAGTAGTTAGTAGTAGTTCCAGTGCAGTAAAAGAAATGTTAGTTTCAGGAAAAAGCTACTGATTTCTGCTCCCACCCCAATCCGTTCACAATGCTACACTGCAAAACCAGACAGCAAGTACTTTAGGAATCTCCATGAACACAAGACATGTCTGGTACACTACGTGCTACGTGTGCCATCTGGTGGAAAACTGTAAGCTGAAGTAGAATTTGGCATGACACTGAGTTTACCAGCCTCATTATGAAAGGCACAAGACTGTACTAGGAAACAGCTGCTACTTCCTACTAGCTTCAGTCTGTTAAATAAAGTGTGTCTTTCAAACTGCATCAGCCCAGCTCTATGATACCTGAAGATCAAATGTGTCAGAGCATCTAGGGACAAGGCAACTCTGCAGAAACTGTAATCCTGTTTTACTTATTCTACTGAAAAGTTTGGTAAATGGCATTTGTAATAAGTCACTATCAGTAACATAGATTCTGTATGTACATCAGAATGCAAAGGAAAGCAATCTGATGCTCAGGTTTGCTTTAAATAGCTTTTCATTTTAAACTGGAATTAACTGACAAAGGCTGTTCACTGTGCAGCTACGTAAGTACTTGCACTGGGGTTTCAGACAGAGCAGTACAGCTGCAGGAATGTCCACACCTGATACTGGCTTAGAAAGAGTTTCTGGAATTTTGAGACTTGAAAGTCAAGTACTATGTCTTGTTATTTGAATATGACATTTGTATCCTTATTCCTACAGAATATCTGCAAAGGTGATACCACTGTCATATCAAACCATTACCTTGAAATTTATGGTATGGGAAATACGATCTGGATGAATTGGTTTAGTTACAATGTTGAGCTATGTTCTGAATAGTCAAATTTAGCATTTGATTTCACAATGCAGTCAGGCTGGAAGGTCACAAGGCCACCTTTGCTTGCCCACAACTTTAATACACAGATGAGAACTGGAGATAATGTATTCAGAAGAACACTTAAAACAACTGGCTAGGACTCCCTGGAGGACTGATCTGTTCCTCAATCACTTCATTAGGATTTACAGAAACTTCCACCTTGCTGTATCTTGATCAAAATAAACAGTTGGCTGCAATGCAATTCTGTAGACTTCTACCGTACCACTAGTACAGCCCTCAGCAGAATAAGAATCATTCTGCCTCCTTAAGAATTAGACCAACTGCACAAAGGCAGATACAGCCCCAACTTAAACAGATTCTAGCATTAATAAGATACATAGCTGTATTAAACTGTTGGACTTCAGGATTTGAAATGCTGGGAGCTTCAAGGTGTCTAAATTCCTAGTGAACTATCAATTTCTAAGCTTTCTTTAGAGATTCTTTATTTCAGTGCAGGTAATTGGAGTGGGCAACGTGGCATGCCAGCTGCAATACTGTTGCCTTACAAACAGTTATTGCAAAAACCACCCAAACCCTTGCCAGATTTCACATAAAACATGTAAGAGTTTAGATTGAAGACTTCTCACTTCTGTAACTCACTGAACTAGACTGGTACAACTGGACTTACACAAGACAGCTGAGGTCTGCCAAGTCATCAATGAAGTCAAACAACTGGCTGATATCGTATGTAATGGATGGACTGTTGGGATTCATTCTCTTCAGGTGCTCTTCATACATTTTACAGACTCCTACAAAGAAACAAGATTAACAATGAAATATTAAAAAAACCCAACAACTGTATTTGCTGAAACTTCTTCAGCTATTGAACCACAGATACCAGGAAAGTTTAGAGATGACTACCATTAAAACAAAGACATAAACTTCTTACTCAAATTCTGTGGAGTTGAAATGCTGCTGTTCTAGCTATTTGCATTGAAACATAATGCTATAAAATCACGGAAAGAAGCATTATCATCGTCTAGAGGAAAAAGTTTTGATTCTGTCAAAGATGTAAATTTCCATGCAATAAACTCTAACAGAAACCTGAAATCCCTTCAAATAATTTTAAGACAGCAACTGCAACATATATTCCTACTGTACAAACACCTAAGAAAGAGAAGAACTAACGTCAAATAAAGCTACTCAAATCTTGTGAGAAAGATCATTCTTGATGAAAGAGTCAAACATGAGCTACTTAGGTAAAAGTGACAGCACAAGTCTGCATATGAATTTGAATCAGTTTTATTTAAGCTAGCCCATAAATAATTCAGATACATTTCAGGAATATAACATTAAAGTCAACATAGAGGCTTTATCTGGTGTTTGTTATGCTTTTGTTTGCCTTGCAAAACTTCCTGGAATTAGAATTTTTAATGTTAAGTGAACTTCCACATTTCAACCATACAGCTGTGTAATTTCAGTCTTCCTTTCAAGCTCACTATGTGTGTCAAAGTCTTGCAGGATTTTTTCTCTAGCATGCATGCTATAAGGCTGCACATTATGTATCAGTTGCACACGTAATTTTATATATTATTTCCAGTAGCAATCTTTCCTTTAAGTGGCTAGCATAAAAATTAGTGAGAGTTAGGCAATATTGCCTACTCACGCAAATTGAATGTGGCTTAATCTAGTTATAGAGACAGTTCATATAAATAGAAGTTTTAGAAACAATGAATAACTATTTTTTTGGTTTGCCAAGACATTACTAAACTAAAAGCATGAGAAATTTTTGCATTTTTTTGTGAATTACCTTAGGAAAACATGAATAGCTACTTATTTTCTTACTAAGTTTGGGAATATGTCAAAAATGGGGCTTGAATAACAGTTTTTGACTACCACATCTGCACCTACCTTCCATGCACTCATTCACCGATTCATAATCAGCGTATGTTCTGCCTTCTGGCCTCTTGGTAGGCTGGACAAGTAGAATTGTGTGAGACTGAAAAACAAAACAAACACCATGAAAACAGGTTACCTGCAAAATCTACATGATGATTTGTTTGAATTAAGTTATCTGAATGAAGGACTACAAAGAAGCTTAATATTAAAACAATTAACTAGCAATCAAGGACACAGACATTTTCCAAATAGTATTTACTGTTCATATAAGTGTTGCTAATTTTTGTTTCCAATCAGTCTTAGCAAACCTTATGTAACTTTAAAATGTGTAAAATCACCAGTAAAGCAGCTACTGTGTTGAATAAAATACCATGGAAATAGTAGTTTCTATTTAAACACGAAAGATCAATGTATAAAAGTTATACCATTAGTGCATTTACTTAAAAGAATGGAAGCTGTTAGTAAGGTTTTGAATATCCCAATTAAAGAGCAAGGAGGGAGTCCAACTTAACTTCACTGTCAGTCTCACCATAAAGATTTTAACAGAAATAGCTATTTTGAGTTATTCACTTGAATTCAAGGGAACGCAAATTATAAAACAAATCTGCACTCAGCATTCAAGATTATTTCCTGTGAAACAGATGCACCAATTCTTCATACTTTGGAGAGTCTAATGAAACAGTAATTATGGCACAGATAACTGTTCCAAATGTCACTCTGTAAACTTGTTCTTCTGCAGGGAAGACTTAGACGATTGTATGGCTTGTGGCTTGCATTATTTTTGTAATATTTTTCACTTGGCTACAGAAAGTGATTTGAGCAAACACTCGAGATTTTTGAAGTGTACACAATCTGTGATCTGATTAACAGGTTACAAAGCACAGAAAGTTTGCAAGCACGCTACAAAACACCATTTCCAGTGCTGCTAATTGGATCCAACATTTTCAGTGCTAATATATGAGGTGAGCACACAACATGTAATATTCATGAAGGCAACTGCAGAGTAAGACACACTGGAAACAAATACCAAAGCATATTATTGCGTTTAAATTAATCAGCTGCTGAAAGAAAAAATCCTGACCCATGCTTTGGACGTATCAGTGAAGATACCAGTTCAGTGTTCACCAAAGGCAGTGACAGAAAAGAAAAATGGCAAATGTTAGGATTTACAAGGAACATTTAAGAAAACATGACAAATTTTTATACCATGGTTGCTAGTATTCCTATGCCTGGAATAGTCTTTGGCTCTTTAAATTCTGACTCAAATAACATGGTAGATTCAGAGAAGCCCAGGAAAAAGTTAGAGAGAAACAAAAGCAGCAATGCTTTTCCCAAACAAATTGAAAAAGAGGGGAATTCAGAAGCTACACACCGTAACAAAAATCACACAAAGGAGACTAGAGCATTTAGGTCCACTTTCATGTATGCCCGAGGACGCTAAGATTTGAAAGGAATTCCCCAAGGCGTGGCTGGTATCTGGCTGTTCCTAAGGGCACTGTACTTACATAGGTGCATTTTAACCAGGTAATCCAACTGACTGCCAAAGTTTATTATAAAACATTTTTTCCAGCACTATCACTTTTATTTGCTGGTCACTGATGAAAAAGCTTGGTTCCAGGACTTGCAACTCTGACTTCCTGGGAGCATTTCACAAAGGATCTCTTATTAACAAGAACGGACAAGATGTGTCAGCCAGTTCAGTCAGTGTGTTCTAAATAAAGTTGTGTTATTTTGGCATTGGAATGTCTTGCAGACTCTATTTGTGGTGTCTGATTACATATGCATATTTCTCTTTCAACTGAATTAAGTATTAAAAAAAAGTTGTGTTTGACAAAACGTAGGAGAGCATAGATAAAACTGAACTGACCAGGAGTTACAGGACTGTATCATAATTTGAGTAAAGTTTTATTTGGTCTCTCAGGATCTTGCTGGGGAATCATTTTAGGGGTTCTGGTTATTCCTCCCATTCTTTGAGTGTTAAATGAATGTATATAATCTGAAATCATCCCAATAATCAGATTACAGAAGAAAAATATCAGTGAACCAGACATGTAAACCAGTTCTTTAAGAATTTTAGAGTGGACGTTCTTTGGGCTTCTAACTTTAAACCATTTACCACTTCAGATACTTTACAATACCCCTACCAGATACTGGCGTGGAAATTATTAATGCCATTGGGACCATCCATATTGTAGAATTAATCGCATTACATCTCAAAGATTTCTTTGGGAACTTCCCATTACTTTACCTTAAGGGGAAAAAGATAATAAATTGTTTGATTTGATAAAATTACTCCTCCTCTCCTACCACATAAGAACAAAAAAAGTGACGAGTTCAGAACCCTGAGAGAAGTTTCCTCCAACTATTACCTCCCCTACTGAATACGTACCTGGGGACAGGGCAAAAATCAGTGTGATTTAATAACTACTGTGCTTTCCTATAGATATAAAGCTTATAGTTAGGAAAACCAAAGCGAGGGAAGATCCGTAAAACCCAATATAGACTGATTCTGATTATATTATATCTATATTTTGATGCATATGTTGGGGTTTTTTTTGCATTTTCTTAAAAAAGCACAGCTGTACTGGCTGCTGTTAAGCAGGACACTGAATGAGATACCACATGGTTTATATTATACCCATTTTGAACTTCTAGACGACACTTTTGAAAGTGTTCCCATTACTGAAGACACAACCCTGCAAAAACGGTTAAGGTGGTGCTGACAGCCAGCCCAGGACTTTGGAGCCAGGCAGCACCTGCTCAAAGAGGCTTCCACCCATTGTAGTCTATTCAACAATAAAGCTAAAAAAAAAAAAAAAAGGAAGGTAAACCAAGTACTGGAAGAATAAGATGTGCAGTGATGCAAATATTGGTATACTGCACACACCTAAACACTTTTCAGTAACTTCTGCTGGGCAGAAACAGTGGTTTAAGTGCCACCTCTCACTGTGGACAACAGTGGACAGGGCTTGCAGCTGCTGCTCGCCCTCGCTGAGGCTAACTGCTTTTGGGCAAGCGCCAGCCAGATGTGGAACTGCTGCAAGCTCAGCAGCAGTTGTCCTTCCACGGCAGGGCAGCTTCCTTCAGCATATTCAAATGTATTGGATGAATGCAACAAGCGATTGTGCTTGCTCCAGCCTTTGTGCTTCAGCACGCCGTCCCAGCAGCCCACCGGCGCAAGCTACCGCCCTTCCCGCCCCGCTCGGAGGTCTGGGGAGGAGCGGGGAAGGCAGCACGGGCACAAACGGCTGCGATTCACACCGATCAGCCGCCTGAGGCCGGCACAGGGGCCGGGCCCGCGGAGCCGCGCTACCCCAGGCGCCCTGGCCAGCCCGCTCCGCGCCAGGAAGCCTCCACCCTTCCCCCCCCCCCCCCCCCCCCGTCACCAACCGGCCATTGTGCCGGGGCGGCTCCGGTGGGGCCGCTGCACCGCCAGCACGTGCCGCCCCCCCCGCCCATCCCCGGGCCCGGAGCGGCGGCCGCGGCCTTCCTCCCTCCGCTACCCCGCCGCGCCTTCCCGCCGGCGCCCGCCCCTCACGCCCGAGGAGAGGAGGGGAGGGGAGGGGGAGCGGCCCGGGCGGCGGCGGGGCGCGGGGAGGGGGCGGCGGGCCCTTCCCGCCCCGCTCACCATCACGGCTCCCGCTCCTCAGCACCGCCGCGGAGAAGAGGCGCGCGACGATTTCAACCCCCACAACCCCCCGCGCCCGCCGGAAGCGCCGCGCTAACGGCCCCGGCCATTGAGCTGGCCGCGCTCCGCCGCGCTGAGGATGCCGGGAGCGCCCGGCCGCGCCAGGCTCAGTTGGTGGAGGGGGCGGCCATCTTTGATGAGGGAGCCTCTCCACTCCCCGCACGCCATCTTGAAGCCGGGAAGCTTTTTTTTTTTTTTTTTTTTTTTTTTTGGGGTGGGGGTGGGGATGTGGTGGGATGCGCCCCGGAAGGGGAAGTGCTGGTCCACAGAGGTGCCACTTGGCCGCTGAGGCTGCGGGTGGCGGTGGGTGGCTCGCGTACCGGCCCTCACGGGTCCTTCGCGCCTTCCCCCCGCGGCCGGTTCGGGCCCTGAGGCCGCCGCGGCGCCCGCTGCTCCGCGCTGTGGGCGGAAGGGCTCGGTGGGGCCGGTCCCGCTGCCGCAGGGGAGGGCCGGGCCTGCCCCTCTGCTCTGACCCGGGGCCGGGCCGCTGCTGCCCGCCCCTCTGCAGCGGGACGGGGGCCGAGCAGGCCGGAGTCGCCGGGCGAGGGAGACATGGCTGAAAGGCTTTCCTGGGAGCTGGGTGTTTGCACGGGTTAAGGCGTGCGGGACGAGGTGGGGAAAGTTGCTTTTGAATTTCGCTTGAAGGGACTGGACAGAAAGCGACGAAATGGATGACTTCCGCTCCATCTGCCTGCTGTCTCTGGCCATGCTGGTCGCCTGTTATGTGGCAGGAATTATCCCCTTGGCAGTTAATTTTTCCGAGGTAAGACAGCGTCGCCAAACTGCTCGTTGGGTGCTAAGGGAGAAACTAGACGGAGAGATCTACCAGGAGGAGTTCGTGCTGTCCCCTGGCTAGTATAGCAGTGCTGCTAGGGGTAATGTAGTGACATAAAAATATTTTTAAGGAAATTGTCAGTGCGATACTGATTTTCATTCAGAATTGCAGTTTAAAATTATGCTTGTGTATAAAAGCTAGATTTGAGCCAAGTGTCTCAGCTACAGATTAAGCAAAGTCTTAGAAGGACATAAGAGGAAATGGACATGGTTAGTCTTACAAGCTTGTGTCAGAAGCTACTGAAGTCAGAGATTAACTGTTGATATGTGTCAATGGACTGTCCCATTAGGGCTTTTAAAAGCAATTCTGAGAACATTCTCAGAAAACTTTGTCTTGGTTCCCAATTTTATTCACAGCTTGTGCTGCTGAAAATTAAACTTTAGCTCTTTGATTACAACACAACTTCAAGTTATGTTGTTGTCCCATGTAACTCAAGGCATTCTTTTGGATACGTAGGGTATTGTTAAAGGAGAGAAAGACTTTCATAGATTGACTGAGTTTCCAGGCAATACAGAAGGTCAAAAGTAAATGTATTTGGGTGCTTCTAAGAAATGATTGTTGAGACAGTGGTGATTGTTACAGTCTCTGGAAGTCTAATGTCCTCTGACGCCCAAGGGGTTTTTCTCTTTCTGTATGATGACTTGTATAGAGGTGTGGTGTAATGAGAGTTTAGTTCCTCTAACGTAGTAAGAGCTCTCTTATGAGAGGTTTCCCGTTTCTGCTGGGAGCAGTGCCGCTTTTGGAAAGCCAAGTGCTGGAAGAGAGCTGTGTCTTGTTCTTCTGTCAAGTCACAGAGCTGGTCGCACCTGTCCTTTGGTCCCACTGTTGCTAGGAGGCTCGGGAGCAGCAGACCCTGAGCAGCATGGAAGGAAAGGCCGTTCATTTGGGTAACAGAACGGTTCTACTAAATAGATTGAAACATGATAACATATTTACATAAATATCATCATAGTTCTGTTTTGCCAGCGCTTCATCTGATGCTTTGATGGACCTTCCCTTATGTCTTCAGTGCTATTTCTTCCACTGTCTTGCTCTTCAACATTCACTTTTGCCTTGAAGCATACAAAGGATTTTCTTGCAAATCTGCTAAGAACGCTGCCTAGCATGCTGACATTGTCTCTTTTTAAATTTAATTTTGCATTTCCTCATGTATAGACTTGATAGTCGCCTGTTGTCTCTGACTTTCTATTCAGTGTTGTTTGAAGGTAGAGTTCTTGATCTGTGTTTATGTGGTTTGTTTATATGTAGTTGAATCAGCAGGCTCATAAACCTTTTGGGGCTCCCAACAGCTGCAGGAATACAGATGTGTTGTGGATCCAAAACCAGCACTCTGCATAAGCAGTAGTCATGTACTTAGTAGCCTTTTGCGTGTGCAGTATGTTGCCAACAGTTCACACATGCACAATCAAGTTTATTGTGGTATCTTAAACTCTCAGAAATTATTGACTCAGACTTACACTTGATTTAAATTAAATATTTAAAATATCCACATGCTGTACTGGTTTAAAAAAGAGGAGCAGAATCTCTCTGCAAATTATGTGCAAATACTAACTAATCCTGGAAGTGTCTAGTAAGAAGTTAGAATTGGTTTGTGTGAAACGATTGCTTAGGGCTCTGCAGCAAGGCCAATTTCAAACCGAAATGACTGTTTGGACTGTGCATTCTATGGTTTGCAAAAAGTTTTGCAGTTGGCCTTAGTGAGCAAAAACACCTCTTCCCACTGGCCACTTACAATGGATAAACAGAAACCAAAAATGAATGCTTTACATAATATACCTCAGATGCTGGAGAACAACAAAATTATTCATTAGTGTTAATACATTCCTTCAGATGATGATTTTTTTTTTTTTTTCCCGTGGAACCTATTGGTTGTGTTCTGATTTCATGCTAGTTTCTATTTTTTTAATTAGATTTGGATATTCTTGAAAGTTTAAAATTCCAGCAAAGCCAGGTATGACTAAACATTGATGGTAAAAAGGTATAGACTGAACAGAGCTTCACTTTATTTCTCTATGCAGATGTACCCTTTTAGCATAATCCTAATTTACAGTACTCTGCTCCAAATTTGGTCTGGAAACAACACTATACCAGTTCTTGAGGCTCTCTCTTAAACCATAGTCAAAATGCAAAAAAAAAAAAACATCGAGTTCTAGCAGTTTGAATGTTTTGCTGGTATAATGGAGGCAGGTGGTGTTGGCTGGACTGGGACTGTGTGCTGCTGAAAGTAAGTGTGAGTTTTTGATAGGTCCTAGTAAGAGTTTCAATGACATGCAGATTTAAACCAAATACTGAGCAGTGGAACAGGTTGCTAATTTGAGGAATTTAAGATTTTTTTCCATGCATTTTTTAGCACTATTTACTGTGTTGCTCTTGTTTTCTGACAAGAGACACCCAAGTGTTTTTGTAACTGAAATGGTTTGATTTCTTTGATAAAACTAGATGACTTTTGCCCGTCTGGGTAGGCTGCAATTATTAGATTGCAGTATTTTGTACTGAAAAGGAGATGGAGACTTATCTTGAAATAGTAACTTGTTAGCACGTATTATTTTCATGGATCTTTAAAATTCACAGATGCCCAAATGAGAAAGCAAGCAGTACTCTGCGTTTGCAGTTGTAATAAAACAGTGCTGCTTCTGATGCTTTTTTTTCCCCTGTGTTTATGTACGTAAAAGAGATTATAGTACTGCAGTATAAAAATAATCTTGTTTTTCCTTGTAAAATGCTGTATTTTTGCAAAATGAGTTTATGAACAGCGGGTGTTGAAGATTCTCTTTTCATGTAGATTGCCATTGTATAAGAATTTATCAAGTATAATTGTTATACATGCCAGTATACAGTGCATGTTTGTGGAAACTTTACAGGTGTTTTCATCTCTTACATATTACTATTTGAATTTCCCCCAGTAATGCTGTAATTGTTTCCTTATGGTCACATTTGGCTTGCTTTCAGAAAGCTAATTTTGCATCTCTCTAGAGCCTCCTATTAATTCTGTACAAGTATTAACCTATTTTGGTGAGGTTAAGCAACTTGTGTCATTATAGTGCATGAAGGAGAAAGGATGGCATAAGGATATGCAAAAAGTGTTTTCCCGTTAGTCTAACACTGACTTCTGTCTCCAGGTCCTCAGTAGTTAACATTAGTATTTTGGTAGCACCCAGACATCTTACTGTGAATGGAAGGTGATCGTGATTCTGCCACAAAATGTATGCTACACGGTTGTTACGAAGATTTAAACTCCTGTGGTTGCTACATGTGATATAGAGGCTCTTACAGAGATGATGGGAAGCAGCCTCTGCAAGTTGTCATATTCTAGAGTCTATTAGATGTTTATATAATTGTATTTTCAGTACCTGGCTTTGACTTTAGCCTGCCAATGTTGTAGTCACAAGGAAGCAAAAAGTAGTAGGCAAGCTGTTCTTATATTGATAAAACAGGATTTAGTTGGTTTGGGAGAAGTGAAGGAGGGGTAATATCCCTCTAAGCTCTTTGCCCAAGAGGAGCATATTGCTAGGAAGATAACGCTTACTAATAGTGGCAAGTACTTATAAACTCTTTATGTGTGTGGTTTTTAATATTGGTGTAGAAATTCTTCCTTAAATATGAATCAAACTATTTTTCTTTACTATACCATAAAAATCATTAGGCTTATGTTGTTGTTTTGTTTTGGTTTTTTTGTTAGAGTTTAATTGCAAATTTGCAATATTTTTATTACAAATCTATTTGAAAACCTGTCTTTGCAGAGGGGAGAGGGGATTGCCATGGTCTATAATTGCAGGGAGAGTGGAATATCATTTTATATTGTCTTAAATGCCTTTACACTGTTTAACTCCTTTTTAAAATGCTACTGGAAGGCTTATAAATTATAAAAATGATAAGCACTGTTCTTCATTCATGCATCTTCTAATCAGAATAAAAAGAATGACATCAAATTTATGTTAGTACCATTATCAGTTTGGTGCAGTTCCCTCATTCAGACTCTCATTTGAGTAAACCCTTTTAAATTATTTTTATAATTCTGGTTTTGGAGCTATTTTAGGAATTCAGTCCCTTCTGCCATATTTTGTACCTACCTGGCATTCTGGAAGTGCTGTGATACTACGGTTCTAAAACTTCACCTGGCACGTTTTTTTTTCTTTTAATACAGGGAACACAGTATCAGATCTTTCAAATAATAATAATATTAAATATCTTTCTCCTAAACTACTTTTTTGTGGACAGTTTTATATTTTTAAAGAAAGTCTGTTCTTTAGTGATACCCTATTAAATAGAAGGCCATTGAAGATTGGCGGTTTTAGGGACAAGCTTCTGCACAAGAGTGGCTGTTTGGTTTAGAGACTGTTCATCTACCATATATAACAGTCTTATAACAGCTTAACTCCATTTCTTCTGTCTTTAAACTTGTAGGTGAAAGTAGAGCTCCTGCTGCTTTTCTCTCTTAAATCTTCCTGCTCTTTCTGTAGTCCTAAAACTTTTCATAGTCTTTTTCTGTGTTATATAATTATAGCTGATTTAGCAGTTACATTTGTACTTGACCAGCATATTTGTATCTGTAGATGTATTTACATTATTGGTACTCTTGTCTTTTTGTTTTTTGCGTTGATAATTTAGGTTTTTTTCTTGTATTTTCTTTTATTATTCAGATTGGCTTTTGGGGGGAACAGACAATTTATCTTGTGGTGTGCCATACATAGCAGAGATTTTAGGGACCTAGCATGTTTAAGTATGATTTCTATTAGGAAGGCTGTATTTGTAAACATTGTAAAAATTGAGATAAAGCATAGAGTGGCAAACATACTTCAAAATTCAGTCACTTTCAATCTTCTTTTGTCTCTGCAGGCCTTACAGTTTGAGGCCCTAGAGGATGAATTAGACCCCAATAATCATTAGTGCCAAATATAGCAATTGTTGCTATTTTCAAGTATGTTCTTTTTCATTTCTTGTTTCATGTTAACAGTCAAATGCGTCATCTTTTAGCTTTCATTTCCTACTTCAGTTGGTTGCACTGGGCACAATATGTTCACTTTTCAGAAAGCTAATTGTTAGGAGTGTGTACTGAGGCTCTTCAATAAAAATCAGCAAGAGGTTTTATGGGTCATGCTCTTCCCCACCCTCTCCCTCTGCCCCAACCTCTGTTAATGAAGAAGAGTAAAGAAAGCGTTTTCATTCTTAAGGATGATACTTCTTTTGTACTTGTTTGCAGGAGAGATTAAAGTTGGTGACTGTTCTGGGTGCTGGGCTGCTGTGCGGAACTGCTTTGGCTGTCATTGTGCCAGAAGGAGTACATGCACTTTATGAAGACATTTTGGAGGGTAAGAACCAAACCCAGATGGCCTTGTTCAATATAACTTAGCTCATGGTGTTATGATATACTGGGGCTTGTTTCTAGGACTTCTAACATGAGGCTGGTGGAAAGGTTTCACAGCAACATGACACAAAGCTGGCATAGAATCACAAAACTGCCATAGGCATGATATTGCATGTTTATGGTGCTTTGACAGAGGGATGTGATCAGGCTGTGGATCGATGACTTTTGCTGGGTGATCCGGTTATCTGCAGGTCCAGGTACTGTACTGTTCATGGAACCACAGACTTTTATGCCAGGTCATGTGTAGTGTTCCTTATTCTGGGGAGAGTTAAAGTTTAACTTTCACTGGAACATCAAAGGAGGTACAAGGATGCCTTTGGCAGAGAATGAAATTGTGGACTATTTGCTGTTGCTTTTTGTAGTTTAGATTGCTTCTTATTAAAGCAATTGCAGGAAGTGTTTTATAGGTCTATATGTACTTGCCCTTATAGAAATTTCCTCCTTTGAAACTGAAGAACATCTTGGAATTAAGTTACCTTAATATACTTGGCTGAAAACTATAAAAGGCTAATTCAGAGAGTAGGAGGCATTTCTTTCTTGGGTGGTGGTGTCTGTTACATAGAGATATCCGTGCGTGGTTCCAAGTTTGAGCATCCAGCTCTAGTCTGCTGTTGCTGGTCTTCAAAACCTCACAGCCTCTGATGAATAGTTGAAAGCTAACAGTGATTATATGTCCTGTAGGGGCGTGTGTGTGAAGCACATCTTCTACCCAAAAGTCTTAGTAAACCTCAATTTGAGGTTAAGACATTACTTTAAATAGTCAGGGCTCATTACCTCTGTCTGGAGTTCACTTTAAATCTTGCTTTAGCTTGGAGTCTCGTGCTATGACATTACCGTTGGATGTGTGAGATTTTTCCAGTATGTTCAGAATCCAAAATTTGTCTGAACGTAAACAACTTAGTGGTCACAGGAGAAAGGACTGTAAAGTTGAGGCTGTAAAGAACTTTGCAAGCATCTGATGTACCATTGTTACTAATCTGGGACTGAGAGATAACTATAATACTCTGCTTTTCTTGTACTACTGTTTTTTTCTTGTTCCTACACTGTTTTAAATTTATTTTTAGTAATATGCTTTAATTTATCCTGTTTTAGTTTCCACTAAATCTATGTTGCTCTGTTTAGAAATAAAGTAAATAGAAGATAATATATAAAATCATCTTTTATCAAGAAGCGAAAGAACCTCTGGTTATGCTTTTATACTCTACTGTAATTTGTGCACTCTAGTGTAGGATGTCTCTAATGAGCTGTAGTTGTGGATTTGTTCTCCATTCAATTTTAATTCTAAGTAGACTAAATTTTTCTTGTAATGATATGGCTATCAGTAAATACAATTGCTGTGAACGTTTGCATTTTATTTTTTTTTCAACTAAATGGGGCTTACTGCTTAAGTGTAAAATCTATAGCCTGTTATTTAGAGCTATATGCTCTATAACTTAAAGTTTAGTATGTGGTAAAAAGAAGCATTTCTGATTACTGTAGTAGTGATATCAGAAGTGTTCACCTAGGAAAAAATAACTTGTTCTGTGAATGAATTCAGACTCCATACTGTATTGTGTCTAAAGCCAGTCTGTCTGTAAAGACTTTTTTGTATTGCAAAGAGGCAAAATTCATGGGTATTATAGATTTAACTGCAAAAAATATTTCTAATGTTTCTCTTACAAAAGTAGGATATTCAAAGTTAAACTTAAGATTCTGAGAACTTAAAAGCTTTCAGTGTTTTTTTTTTTTTCTTTTTTGCAAATTCATCCATTTATGTAATTAAACTTAGAAGGGTGCCTAAGGGAACATTGAGGTAAATTTATGTAATGGGGGAAAAAAAAAAAAAAGAGGTCTTTGTTTTCCCAGTTCCAAATGTAATTTAACTGTGAGACTGGTTGCTTGTTACCAAAACAGGTGTTTATTGCTTGTACAAAAGTCTTTTACTGTTGTATTTTCCCACAGGCCACAAAATAAATAACTTCTAATTTTTGACCTTGTAGGCTGAGAGCAAATTGCATATCATGATTCAGGTTATTATTTGATCATAAACCTATGTATGTGTGTAGTGAAACTGTTTGACTGTTACCAGCAAATAAAATTCCTTTGGTGACTTCAGTCCTTTATTTTAACTGGTGGATCTTCATAACTGCTGTCGGATTGCCCTGAGTTACCCACTATGTATGGCTTGAAATGATCTGAGTCAAAGTTAACTTTAATATAGATTGCGAGAGTCTTGAGTGGTCTAAAGTTATTTTCTTGATCAATCTTGTTCAGCAAAGATATGTTTGTGAAACTTGTCAAGGGCTACCAAGCCTGTTCCGATGTGCTTTGTGCCTACGTTTTGTACAGTGGGATGGATGTACAATTGCGTCTTATCCAAGAAGATGACTTGCTAGAGTAAGTCAAGTTTTTGCTGTTTGTGTCTAAAACTTCAGAAGAGTAGTCATCAACCAAAAGACCTCCTCAAAATGACAGAAGTTATACTTTTGTCACTTAAGTCACAGATGTTGTGAAGGCCCTAATGTATGCTGTGCTCCATTTTGTTTGTTGCCATTCTTTTTTTTTTTTTTTTCCCCATAAAGCTAGGTGGATGAAAGTTGCACCATCACTCACTTTAAAAAAAAAAAAAAAATCTAGAATGAACTTTAAAAATACAAGGTTGAAACAAAGTTGCTAGTCCTCTTAGGGTTAGATGTGGTAAAAATGAAAGTAAGATCAGTAACATTCATAGAATCACAGACTGGTTTGGGTTGGAAGGGACCTTAAACATCACCTAGCTCCAACCCCCCTGCCCCGGGCAGGGCCCCCTTCCCCCAGCCCAGGGTGCTCCCAGCCCCGTCCAACCTGGCCTTGAACCCTTCCAGGGAGGGGGCAGCCACAGCTGCTCTGGGCACCCTGGGCCAGCGCCTCACCACCCGCACAGTGAGGAATTCCTTTCTTATATCTAATCTAAACCTACCCTCTTTCAGTTTAAAACTGTTACCTCCCATCCTATCACTACACCCCCTGATAAAGTCCCTCCTCATCTTTCCTGTCACCTGCTTTAAGTACTGTCAGGCTCCTAGAAGGTCTCCCTGGAGCCTTCTCTTCTCCAGGCTGAACAACCTCAACTCTCAGCCTGACCTCATAAGGGAGGTGCTGCAGCTCCCTGATCATCTTCATGTCCTCCTCTGGCCCTGCTTGAGCAGGTTCATGTCCTTCTTATGCTGGGGGCCCCAGAGCTGGACACAGCACTGCAGGAGGGTCTCATGAGAGTAGAGTAAGAGGGGAGAATCATGTCCCCCAACCTGCTGGCCACACTTGCTGCAGCCCAGGGCACGGTTGGCTTTCTGGACTGTGAGTGCACGTTGCTGGCTCACAGTCAGTTTTCCATCCACTGCTACCTCCAAGTCCTTCTCCACAGGGCCGTTCTCAATTCACTCATCGCCCAGCCTGGATTTGTGCTTGGGTTTGCCCCAACCCATGGGCAGGACCTCACCCTTAGCCTCATTGAACTTCATGAGGTTTGCATGGTCCCACCTCTCCAACCTGCCCAGGTCCCTCTGGATGGCATCCCTGCCCTCCAGCATGTTGACTGCTGTGCACAGCTTGGTGTCATTGGTAAACTCGCTGAGGGTTCACTCGATCCCACTGTCTGTGTCATCAACAAAGATGTTAAACAGCGCCAGCCCCAGCGCTGACCCCTGAGGAATGCCACTCGTCACTGGTCTTCACTTGGACATTGAACCACTGACCACAACTCTTTGAGTGCAACAGCAGAGACAATTCCTTATCCACTGAGTCATCCATCTGTCAAATCCATCTTTCTTCAATTTAGAGACAAGGATGCCATGCAGGACAGTGTGAAAAGCTTTATACAAGTCCAAATAGATGATGTCAGTTGCTCTTCCCTTATCCACCAGTGCTGTAACCCTGTTGAAGGCCACCAAATTTATCAGGCGTGGTTTTCCCTTAGCAAAACCATGTCACCAGCCACCTCCTTATTTTTCATCTTGGCTTTCTGGAGGTCATTGTAGGTAAAGAGTTGAGAGTGTTTTTAAATTATGAACTGTGCACCCAGTACAGCATTTTACAACATGGAAACTTAATTAAAAACCTGTCCGGCCATCTTCTTTCCCCTTCTTAGATTTTAGCTTAATTTGAAGCTCTCTTAATTTGGGGTAGCTTAGTGAGTCAAGATAAATGTCTTGGGCAGGGTATGGAATTAAAGCCTATGTAGGAAAAGGAAACAACCACACAATATTCAACCACAGGACTTTGGGTTTCTAGAATGGTACTGACGTTTGTAGGACAGTGTGCTGATTTAACTGTTGTTCTAGTGTGTATCATTGGACTTTATCAATGCTAATTTGTTTAACTAGAGACTGATTCTTTGATATATAAAGTTAATAATCTTAAAGATTGCTTTAGATCTCTTGGTAGATGGAACCTATTTTATCTCCGTAGCCTGTATTTTCTCACTTAAATTAAGATTATGACTTAACTGTTTGGCAGCATCACTGAATACAGACAGAACTGGCAACTTCAGTTAAAAAAGGGATTAATCAGCAATTTTTATCAATCTATTTGTATTTAAAATGCAGTATTTAAACAAAGTAGCTTATCAAGTATTAATGCTTTCTTTGCTTTTCCATACTGAAGATGTATGAGTAGAGTCCAACCAGACATATATGTGCTTCCCTAAGAAAATGGTCTAAGACAGGTCTAAGTCATGTTAAAAGAGGGCTTTTGTGTATTGTCCCAGACAGTATAAAGAATGCTTTTGGCAAAGGAGGAGAAAAGTGACCATGTCATGTTTAGTCCCCTGTCTCCTAATCTTTTTGCTTGCCTGTCACAGGGAAGCATCACCCGGCGAGTGAGATGCAGCATGTGATTGAGTCTGAGAAGGTAGTGGAGGTCCCGGTTGTACACGAGTATGGCCATGACCATTCCAGGTTGCATGCCTACATTGGTGTATCCCTTGTCCTCGGCTTTGTCTTCATGCTGTTGGTGGATCAGATAGGCAGCTCTCATGTGCACTCTACAGATGGTAAGTAAAAATTCACTTTCATTAGACTTGCTAAATAGTCTTAATTAGCAAGTTGCAATTTTTTTGAATGCTACTGGGATTTAATTTGACCAGTCATGTCTAGAGTTTCAGTAGGTACCTTACAAACATAAAGCAAGTTCTGTGTAAAATGTCTGTGCCGGAAATCTGTCCAGGAATTCAGCATCATTTGAGAGCTTGCTTCACTAACATGAAATAACTGTGAGAGCACATATGCTTTGGGAGTGGAGGGTGACTTGATGCTTGAGTTATGGTCTGTTTTACAGTATCACCTGTAGGGGATTTCTTTGGCTTTCCAAAAAACTTCTGGTTAGTCTTATCTACATTTGTTTTTCCTACTTAATGGTCATACATGCGGGTAAAATTTGCAAAGAATTAAAAGTTATTTAAAGTAAGACTGCAAGAATTACTAGATGTAAGCTCTGCTTCTTTACTGTAACTGCACAGCTGGACACCCATGCTATTCTAGAGCCTCACTTACTCCAAAACATTGCCTGATTAGTTCAAAGATTTCTCAACTTCATCGCGAGCCTCTAAAAATGCCTACAACTGCCTTTGTTTCCTGCCTGTGGCTTCACGCTCAGACTGTAGCTTGAAATACACCAAAAATGTTTTGCCATCTGAAAAGGTATTTTATTGCTACTGGCTGCTTGTTTTCTCCCACACAATCTCCTCTAATAGTGGAATTTGGCCCCCCAAAATTAGGGAATTGATCTTGAAGGAAAAGTGAAACATACACACACAAAGTAGGGGGGATATGTTTTGGTTGGATCCTTGGTAGTTCACAGTGCAGCTGCGCAAATGTTTGGATGGGTTTAGTGTGGTGGGACAGATGGGAGGCCAGCGCAGGGGCTGTGTCACCTTTGTGCTCCTGGAGAAGCGTAAATGGAGGCACAGCCATTGCTAGCTGCTTTTCAGAGCTTTCCAAAGGAAACAGTGGCAGTGAGGATGACAAGGGGATGCAAGTGAGCAACTGACAGAAGACTCCATGGTTTGTACAGGTTATGACCCTTTTCTGTGTCTGATCAGAGCATATACCAGGAGAAAATTGACTATGGTCGGTGTTAGAGATACACTAAAATAGGATATTAAGTAAAGTTTTATCTAGTCTGTACCTCAGTCAGAGGAACTGTAGTACTATTTTTGTAATGTAATTTAAAGCTACTGAAGAAAAACATTTTTTCTCATTTGAACCAGTGTCTGGTAGTTTTGTTATCTCCCAAGCGGCTAGATTTTAGTCTGTCTAAACTAGAAAAATTCTGTAGGCCAGAGTGGAAGTATGAAATCAAATGTGACTCTCTGAGTATGTTTAGTTCTGGTCAGTCCAAAACAAATCTAAAGGAAATGTTCTTTGTGAGTATCTCCTCCAATTTGACATTCAGCCTATGCAATTAATTGCTCAAATCAGCTCCCCTTGATTGAGAAGATCAGTCTGACTGAAGAGACTACAGTAGTTTTTAGCCAGCTCACTTCCCTGATCAGACTCACTGGGCAAATATGTGAGTGCCTGGGCATGAAGAGGGAGGACAGACAGGAGGAAAGGAACAGGCAGGAGGACTGGACTTTCCATTTTGGTGGCAGTGAAGACTTAAAGTAGCTGTGTAAGTGTGCTTGCAGTCAGCTTTCTGACCAGTACTATAATTAATTATTGTCTCAACTGTTTGGAATTTAACAGTTGAATAATAAGATGTTTCTATACTTGTATAGGATTTATCTGCCCTGTTCATTGCAGTGATTCTTTGTAACAGTTTTGTATTGCCCTGTTGTGCTGTGCAATGAGCTAACCTGGAAATGTCCTCAGTAGTTATCAAACAGTTGCGGTCAAAACACAGGATCGCAAGCAGCACTGGCTTCATTTCTCCTCTGGGGTGTATAAGGTTGGAGGGAAATCTTTGCAGCTGCTGCCATGACAGGTAGAATTTATTGCTTACTAGGAATTGCCAGGGAATCAGTGCAACAGAGACTGTTCTAGATGGTCACCTGAATGAAAATGCCAACACTGAACTGTGTGGGGAAAAATAATCCTGACTCTCCAGCAGGTCTGGATTCTGGGGATACAGCATAGAACTGTTGGTTTCAGGAGGCTAAAAACATCTGCTTCTGCCTATATCAGTGATCCTGTAAATTACAAATAATTGTCTGTGATCCTGTGCCTTGTTTGTTGGCAGAACTTCAGGTGATTTTAAGGTATCAGACTACTTTATAGTAAATCTAATGCAGAAATAAAAAAGTTGGTAGTTGTGAATATAACATGTGCAGTGATAATTACAATTTTTCTTCCAGCATAATTTATGTATTTGTTCTCTTTATCCTAACTTTCCTCATGACCATTTCAGATCCAGAAGCTGCAAGATCAGGCAACTCCAAAATCACCACAACACTGGGACTAGTAGTCCATGCTGCAGGTAATGTGGGACCTATTGTTGGCACTTGACAAGGACTTACTTTGCTGTATGGCTCAGCTTTAGATGTGATAGAAACACTTGGGATTTGTTTTTGAAGGTGGCTTTTTAATACCAAAAAAAAAAAAAAAAAAAGGAAAAAAAAGGCAGGGTGAGGAGAACTAAGGATCTTCCCCAAAAACTTACTGGGAAAACATACTCCAGTGCTCAGAATGTTCCATGGAGTTTTATTTGGGTAGAGAATTTTCACTTGTCTATTTTCCCTGTCCAAAATGTTGTATGATGCTCACTCTCTGCCTCTTCAATTTCTTTGGTGGCTGCTTCAGCTGCTAAATGTCAATACATGCTAAAACATTCAATAAGTAGTATGAAACACTTTTGGATTTGTTTGTCAGTTGACCTGTGTTTTTAAAAATAATACTACGTTTAAAAAAATACCTTGTGGAAAAAAGGACCTTATAGGGTGGAGTGCAAAGATTTGACTGAAACGTATTTGGGCTGAGTTTCAAGGACTGAAAGTTGTGAATGTGTTGCGGTCAACCCATGTTCATGTTGTAGTTCTTCACTATATATGTGTAGTATAAATATCATGCTTTTTTAATGTCTTCTGCTGAAGGTTATTGTCTAGTTAAGTCATAAGGTGTTGATCAAAAAGATATTTTTTTCACTAAACAAAATGTCTATATATTAAAGATTGATATAGCATCCATTTTCTATTTAATTTAGACAATATATTTAAGTTAAATGGTGGAAAAAAGTAGTATTTACAGTAGTAAATATTTGTAGCACTACTTATTGTGGTACACATTTGCAAATTCATTTAAAGGTTAATAATTAAAATTCTTTTAATGATTAGAATCTAAAGCATTTTTTTTTTTAATTTGAACACAAAGCCATTTCTAATCCAGAACACTAAAATAACTAAGCTTGTTACCTGGTTTTAATTTGTCAGAATGTGTCAATACTGAATAGATACTCAGTATGTTTTTTATGGTCTTGGGAAATACGAGACAGCTCCTGTTGAAGGTTGTCTGATGTCCTGAAATTGTTGTGGCTTAACAAAGGGAAGTGAATCCTGTGTTGGGTTGGTATTGTTAATGGCATTTTGAGTAACAGGGCTTCTAAAATCAACGTTTTGTACTGTCAGCCATAGAGGGGGTGGGAAGGATGAAACTGGTGTGGAGGAATAATCTCTGAATTTGCACTCCTGTTTCAGCTGACGGTGTTGCATTGGGTGCAGCAGCTTCTACTTCTCAGACTAGTGTCCAGTTGATAGTGTTTGTTGCGATTATGTTGCACAAGGTAAGTCATCATCCAAAAAAATCTTACTTGTTCTTTAAAAGACTGTTAAAGCATACAGAAATTGCTAAAGATCTTAAGTTTCTTTAGTGATATAATATGGAAATGTGTAATGCCATTGAAATGAGCAGGGTGGTAGTGCAGCTTCAAGGACCTAAAAGCACTGGTATGGTGGGTGACAGCATAGCAGATGATGGATGTTCAGTCTGAATGGAGTACGAACGTGAGAGAATTCTGACTGCCTGCTGCCTACCTTGGTTGCAATGGTTGGGAAAAGTCTCTCAAAAGTAGGGAGAGAAGAATAGCTTATGAAGAAATCTGGTAGCTTCACACTGACTTTTTCTGAAGCTAGTGTGGTGTTGTGTGTGTTTGGGTTTTTTAAAAAACAAACAAAAAACCTCAGGATTTACTGCTCTAAGAGATGTATTCAGAGAAGTTCTAGAGGGTGAAACATGAAAGTATATGCTAGTGTATTCAAGGAGGAAAACCAGTTTTATGCTGATTACAACAGTTTTTTCGTTCTGTGGTGTTAAGAAAATGGGAAGGATGTTTTGAAGCCACTTAATACCAGAATACAACTTCTGGTTACCTCTGTTATTGTACTAGCTTCAACAGCAGTCATATGTTATTTTTGCAAGAAGAAAATGTAAACGCTTTTCTGATGGTAACAAGCAAACAATGGCTCTTGAAGATAGGAAGATCTCTTTAATGTTTGTGCAAACATATCTATTAGCTATATAGGTTCTAAACATACATGTGCAGATGCATATTTGACTTATGGTAGCACATGCTACCATATAGTACAGTAGTTAGTCATACATTCATCCAAAATCTTGTTTGCATAATTGCATGTTCAAAATGTTAGGAAATCCAGATCTTTTCTTCACTGTTCATACAGGAAATTGTGGTTTACACAACCCTCTCCAAAGGTGGCAAAGTCTATGTCACATCTTGCTGTGAAGCTTAGTTTATGGCTATTGCTAAGCAAAATTTGCTTTTATTATTTGTAATGTTCAAATTACCTGAGTTCTGAAATGGTACAATTTTAGAAGAGGAAAATTTCTCGTATGAAAGATTATCAAAAAATATTTGGTATTGAAAGAGAAATGTATTCCTTCACTTGTCTTTTTTATTTTTCTGGTCTTCTGGTCTTCCTGATTGACGCTTTTGTCTTTCTCAACTTTTTTCATTCACTCATGGTTTCCTTTGTCTATGTTTTTTTAAAAAAAAATATTCTGTCTATAAAAAATGCTCAATATATTTTAGTTTATCTTATCTCAAAAATGTCAGGATGGACTGCTATTGTCTATGCAAGCAAAAAAATATAGCAAATTCCGTGAGTAATAGGACAGCTATGCCTTGTGGATAAGAAATTGGATGCCAGCAGAGGGAGAAGGAAGTATTTGTTTGCTTCCCAGTGGGAACAGAAATGAAACTGAATGATGAACTAATCAAGAGCTGTTTGGTCTTTTCACATGGAGGCTGACAGCTCTCTATCTTAGGGAATTTTTTCCCCTTCCATGTTAATTGTAGAATTTTTCTGCTATAGATTAAGAAACTGTCCATCTAGGGATGTGTAGTAGTATCAGGACAAAAAAAAAAGAAAGTACATGAGTTAGTGGAGACTTAGGCATTATAGCAATGACTCAACCCATAATGAACATTTTGGTATTTATAATGACTACACAAATATGTGTACTCTGATAGCCAGAACACGAGCTTCCATTAGGTACTGTTATTAAGGTAGGGCAATCACCAGAATTGTACTGATTTGGGTTAACTGCAACATACTAATGCTCTCCCTAAATTTCTTCCAGTTCAGTGAATTTCAATGTAGTAAGTCATATTTCAACTTTATCTCAGATTTCAGGGGATTTTAAAAGGTATTGTATTACTAATGAATATTGTTTTTCACAGGCACCAGCTGCCTTTGGCCTGGTTTCCTTCCTGATGCACGCTGGGCTGGAACGGAATCGAATTAGAAAACACTTGCTGGTCTTTGCGTTAGCAGCACCTGTTATGTCAATGGTGACATACTTGGGGCTAAGCAAGGTAGGTCTGTGATGTTTTTCTCTCCAAAACGTAGCTCATTGGTGGAGTTTGGGAAAATGAATATCATACAAGTTTTGTAGAACGTAACTCCAAACAGCTTGAAAAATGTAGCAGAATGGAGATAAAAAGAAAGCTATACGAATGTGTGAAACAAAAAATAACCTATGCTTTCCATCAGAACCAGTGATAGAACTCCTCTATAGAGTTCTGCATGGCTTTTTTTAGAAGGCTGATTTCTGTCTTCTCCTTTCTGCTGCTCCCTGCTGAGAACAATTTACTCATATACCAGGTTTTATCTGATGACTATATAACTGAGTAATTTTCAGTGTTGCTGCATGCATTATGGTTTCAATATGCAGGTAGAAAATAACGTTTGCTAGTTTCCCCTGCCATCCCACAATTGGTCCTGTATGTTCAAAGTCTTTTTCACGCTGTGGCAGAAGTTGAATCCTCAGCTAAAACAGCCTTTTTGTCTCCCGTACTCCTTAAAGCATAGTCTTGTCTTGGCTCTATACAACAAATGGCCTGTGAAATGGGCCACTGCACGAGTTTATCATCTCTGTTCAAATTAAATGTTTCTGCTTCTCATAGCATTTCCAGTGACACTCCTGTATTTCTAACTGCTGTGGGCCATGCTAGTGACACACTATGGTGTTGTGTTGTAAAGAATCTAACGTGATCTCATGGAACTCAAGGCATGAGAGGAAAGATTAAGTAAATGATCTGGACTGATCGCTTTACTTGCTGGAAAGGGGTTATATTTGATATTGCAGTACAAGAGACAGTAGAAGGGGTTGGGTTTGTAGATAGAAATGGGAATGCTGTTTGAGCATTCTTTTGATGTAGGCTCACTAAGAGTTGGTTTTGCATTTTGCAGTTCAGAAGGAACAGAGCGTTGTTACAGTGATTACATTGTTCCAGAGCAGATCTAGCTCCACTCTGGACAAATAACCTGAGATTATGCCAGAGAACCGACATCACACTTGAGTTGGAAATTGTTCAAGAAGCATTTTGAAACTGATGTGTGATGTGTTGCATTTGATTACATTTAATGATGTGTAACACGATCGTAATCCTAGTATGAATGTGAAGAGGAAATCAGTTTTGAACCAGAAGATGCATTTCTTTAGGGAGCTTGCATGGAAATTCTGGGAAAGTTTTGGGTCCTTACTTGTACATACAAATGAAATATTGAATGAATGATGATTTGGGACTTAAATCTAGCAAATGTTGCTCTGACCAACAGGGGACTAGATATTTAAACCCTAACATCTTATTTGAACTCTTTGTTTAGGAAAAACAAACAAACAAACAAAAACCTCAGTCTTGAATGTCCTTCCTAAAGTTTGTTACTTTGCAATCTGAACTTTTTTTTTTTTTCCAAAGCACATTTTGTCATTCTGACATTTTATATGTTGCTGAGATGTGCTTCTGCAGAATCAGTGACTTTTTTCTTCTGTAAAGGTTCCTATAAGTCTGAAGTGAGTTAACTAGGATCAGAGGTGCCTTTCTGCCCCCCCTCATCACCTTTAGAATGCCAGTTGCAACATGTAAGATGCAAGACACAAAACATCACATTAAACCATTGTCTGTTTGAGAGAACGAGAGTTGATAGAAATCCTCCTGTGTTTGGACACTTACAGAATTTTTAAATTACTGATTAAAGAGCTTCTGCTTATCCTCATTTTTTTTTTTAACCCTTTCCTTATTGCCATTTCAGAGCAGCAAAGAAGCCCTTTCAGAAGTCAATGCCACCGGAGTTGCTATGCTGTTTTCTGCTGGGACTTTTCTTTATGTTGCCACAGTTCACGTCCTCCCAGAAGTAGGAGGAATTGCTCATAGCCACAAACCTGAATCAACTGGAGGAAAAGGACTCAGTCGTCTGGAGGTGGCAGCCCTAGTATTAGGATGCCTTATTCCTCTAGTTTTGTCCATTGGACACCATCACTAAACGCTCGAATTTCACCGTTCTCCTCAATCTGACACGAGCAGTCAATGTTGGCTGCTCCCTTTATCATTGTCTCTTACCATCATCCATCCCATCCACTTTATGGAGTTCAGAGGGAACCTTGATTGCAAAATGAGGAATACTGGCAAAGTTTTTAGTGTAGCAAAATGTACTTTGGCAGCCGGACGAAATTCTATGTAACTTTATTTTCTGGAGACATTTGCTATTTTAATTGTTACTTCTGGCCCTATTCTCAGGGAAGATGGCATTTGGAGTTTAAGGTGAGCGGGAAAGAACACAGCGACTCCTCGCGAAATTGCAGTCACCAAAGTATCCAGCGATTCAGCTTTCACAGCTGAGAGTGAAAACAAAGGATGGCTGCCTTCTGAGCGGTTGAAGTCTTACTAATGAAGGAGGGATCTCCCTCATCAGTTCTCTGTTGTCCTGACAACGCAACTGGTCCTTGTGATGTTTGTCACTAATTGTATTGCAAAAATGGGCTGCATTCTGAACTCTGGATAACACTGCTGTTGTCACAGAAGTGTCACTGATAGGAAGGAAATGATGTAGACACTGTAGGATTAGAGTATGAGATCAGCTGGTCAAGAAAGCATAAATGAATTTTGCAGTTTAGTCCATTATTTAAGACAAAGGATTGAAGCAAGGGGAACAGTGTTTTGATTGTTCATGCAATTGTTCAGAAATTTTAAAAAGGCAGTGTTTCTTGGGGGGTGGTCTTCTGCCAAGTCAGTAAAGCATAGGCACCAAAAATGTTAGCAGGTATTGGGTACTGTGATTAGACTACTGCTGCTGTTGAGAGATACACCCATAGTGTCCTTTGAAATCGAGCTGTTCTGGGCTCTGAGGAGTAGGAATCTGATGGAGACAGCTGTTGAAGGACCAGAGAACTTCACTAGCTCACTGAGCTGCTGAAATCAGTGAGGGTGTGTGGTGCTGTTTTAATTAAATAAGAGGTTAACTAAACAAAATGTTTAGTTTAATATTTATGCTGCAGATAGAGTACAAAGTGTTTCTAAAGCAGTTATAAACAAAAAAACCCAACAAACAAAAATCCAAACTGGTGTGTTCCCAGTGGACCTGTTAGGCATTTTGCTTTTCTTTTGGGAATTGTGCATTCGCCTCTTACGGATAAGCATTGGTTTTGGTGAATCTACTGGAGGACTTACTGCCAACTACTGATGTCTCTCACTACAGAAGAGTGATAAAAGATCCCTCCCTTTCCAAGGCACAACCTTCTCTTGTCAGGCGCCATTTCTCTTATGCAAAATATATGATACTCTAAGAACTGTAGTGCATTTAAAGGTCAGGAATGCTTGATGTGCACAGACTCAACATAAAATTCTTTCTTTAGGGGAAAACGTTTTGATGCCGTACCCTTTTTAAGCTATACTCTGTCTGCACTTTTTAAAGATAACATTGCCAAATATATTTTTCTTTTGATTTTTTTTTTTTTGAAACAGATTTTCAAGGCTTGAAATACCTTCTTAACTGAAGTGCTTTTTGTTTCCATTTGAATGAATGTGTCTGTGTTTCATGACATTTATTACTTATACTACACAGGCCATTGTGCCTCTTCTTTACATTTTTGTCATTGTCCTGTTTGTCTACTATGTAATGATGAGTATGTCCTGGCTCTTGGACTAGTGATTGCTTTGCCTGTTGGCTTGGTAACAGTACAGGTGTATCCCAGGATTGAAACTAGTATTGAACCCCAGGAGTGCTTGTTCATTGTGTGTTTTACTATATAAAACTGATGCAAAATTATTAGAAATCATATTTTCCCATACAACAGTCTTTCCAGATAGAATTAGTGTATCGGGCCTAAACAAGCATTTTTGACATTAGACCTTCAAAAATAAATTCTGTTCTGAAAAGCCACTGCAAAATTAGTGATATGGATGAGATCTTCTCCTGCACGTTCGTAAACTTTTTTTTTTACAACAGACATATGCAACTAGTAAGTTACCTGTTTAAAAAGTTCAGTGTTACAGGCTACTGACAGATGCAAATGATACACAGGGATCTTTAGACCACAGCTCCCAGTGTTCTTCCTTGATAATCTTACTATTTTGTCTTGCTTGATCTTCCCACACAACTGTTTCCAAAAGCCAGAGAGTTTGCAAGATCTGCAGCAGAAACAGGCGATAGCTTAGTGCAGCACCACATGCTTATGTTTTGTAAAACAGTAAGGGTTTTTCTTTCTTTAACCTATCACCATCACTTGCGCACACACCCCACCCCACTAGTTAAGCCGGCACCCTGACTGCCTTCCACTTCAGCCTCATTCTGAGTGGAACAGCAGCAGCGGTTTAGGGAGGTGGGTAGGTAAGGTCCCATTTCAAGCCTTTTGTTCTGGTGTTGCAGCAGGTGGATGGTACCTTTGTAAGTGGATCAGTGTGTATTGATGAGGATGTGGCAGCCAGCCTTTTCACTGCTGACATAACTCCTGGCGTGTTAATCGTAAGAGGTGCCACCGCTGAGAGGTCTTGCCGTCTTTGTTTTCTCCTGCCCCTCATACCATGTTTCCAGTTTCTGGGGCAGCCACCAAAAATGCTAATACTCCGTTCAATGATTCATGAATTGTAGAGGCCAAGTTATAGCAGCAGGTGAGGGATTTTAAATGGAAACATTTGCAACATAAAATTGGCACCAAAATTCTGATAACACATACTTTTCCTTTTGGCACTTGCTTAAGTGATAGAAGACTTCTGTGATTTTTAGGGGTTTTTTCCTACCCATTTAGAACTAGCAACAGCATTTTCTTTTGGATGTCTCTGTTATCTCTGTGTTGAACTATTTTAAATTCTGTAGCTGAAACTGCAGTGACTAAGGAAGCTTTTGGTTATGTGATAAGAAGAATGTAAAATTTTAAATGATCAAACCTTTCCAAATTGCCAGTTCTGTGGGGAGGATTATTTTCTCGGGGCAGAGTATTTTAATGAGTTAAATAAAATGGTCCATTTTATCACAGCCCTTTTTTTTTTTTTTTTTTTTTTTTTAATCTATCTCCCCATCTGTCAGTAAATCCAAGCACTGCATGTGGTCAGGGCCATCTGGTATCATTTTCTACTCCTCAGGGGACCCTGGTGCAAACAAATTCCTCTTGCTCTCCCTGTACTAGCCGTCTCTGCCTGTTCTCTACTGTGGGGTAGGTGGCAGCAGGTCTAGCAGGTAACACTTTTACCAAGTGCCAGGCATGTCCCCCTTTCCTCCTGTAAATCCCTCTAGGAAATCTATAATCTTCTCATCAGCTGTTTTTTTCAGTTAATGATTTCTTAATTGGCAGTAGGGATTGGACTGAAGCTGTTTCTGTTGATCCCAGTGTGTTCAGGTACTTTCCCTACTGCTCTAATTCCTCTAATGTTCCTTATATAAAGAAGGAAAATACTTCTTTTTCAGCACCTGATGACAGATGCAGAAACTGCACTGACACTTAAGGGAGGATGGCAGAGCTGTCACACCAAGATGGGAATTTTTGATAGTTGTGGCACGTCAGATGGCTGGGTGTTTAACACACAAACCGGCTGTGAACCATTTCCAGGTGGATTGTGTAAAAGGCTAATCTTATACAAGAGACCCGGGAAAACTACGGTGTTTATTCAGGACCTAGTTCAGAACCTTCAAGGAGCTTTTGACAATAGCAGATGAGTCCATGTGGTATCAGCTGTATGCAGAATGAGAGAGATGCTGTGGAATAAATATTGCTGCTGCTCTCTTCCTGTTCTGTGCTGGGACTTGGGAAGAAGAGGAGGGAAGTGTATTTGTATTCTTTTGGGGGTGGAGGGAGGAGGAGTGGTTGCAGTATGGTGGGGAAGTTTATGATGAATTTCAGATTCTTTGATTAATTTCAGACTTCTGTTCACCTCAAACTTATTTTAAAAATAAACTTTTTTTTTTTTTCTTACCGTCCTTTTATTACATCTCTTAGCAGCCTTGGTTTTCCAGGGAAAAACATTGCGTGGTCATTGCTGTTTACCTGACTCCATGTATGGAACTGTAATTTTAATGTCTCTTTTTCCAGACCATTTGTACACAAAATCATTCCATGAATGGCTGCCTTATAATTTTTCCACTTTAATTGTGAATGGTTAAAATAATGTTGCTGTTTTCAATTTGTTTTATTATATTAAATTTTTACTAGGTGCAGTGCTTCGGAGTTGGCTTGTCATTTATTGCATGGGGTTTTGTGACGGCTCCAACAAAGAGAAATGACAGTCTTAAAAATGGGATGCAAGCAGTGCAGACAGTACATTTTATTTTTGTGTAAGTGTTTGCTGGTTTTTTTTTTAGGATGTCTGAGCACCTCCTGGAAATGTGAAGTGTGAAACTGCATGTTGGGAGCCAGTCTAGCAGGTTGATTTGGACATGGGTATGATGAGGTTTAGAGGTATAAATACAGAAATGATTTGCGAGCTCTGCTTGAGAGGCATTTGACAACTTCTGTCTCCCACAGAGTGTTTAGGAGTTGGCATCACCCTGAAGCTAGCTCTTCCCCCACCCCCAGGGAAATCTCTGAAGCTTACAAGGCAGAGACCTCCTTGGAGGGCCATAAGGAGAGGACTGGCTCAAGATTGCTCCAGGCCACTGTTAAAAGGCTGGGGGACATGATGGGGCTAAAGAAAATTGAGAGCACGGGATGGAGTGAAAACAATCTTGTCAGCCCCAAACCCGAAATGCAAGCACTCAGTCCCTCCAGTCTTTTTGGAGACCTTGTGGCAAAGTAGCTTTTCCTGTATATTTGTGTGTCTGTGTGATTTGGATTAAAAGTCAACTTTAAATACGCTTGTTAAGGTGTAAAAAAAAAAAAAAAAAAACCCTAGCCTGCTTTTTGTTCCTGTGTTATGGGGAAAACTGCTGGTGAAATCTTTCTTGCCCCTGTTCTGTGGTTTGATTTTTCTTTTTTTCCTCCCATCTTGCTGTTTCCAGGCACTGAGTCACAGCTCAGCTTCCCTTGTGACTGCCCCGTGATCCTACTGCTTACCTGTTTGCAGCTCTCGGGCCTTCACTACTGGCACAGGCTTCCTGGAAGACAGCTGGCCTTCTTCCTGCAGTGTTCGATGAAAGGAAAGCCTGTGCTAAGCCACAGCTACCCAAGTTTTCTCTCAAATGCTAGTTGTGGTGGTCATTGTAACTGAGAGCGGATTGTGTTCTTGCTGTGAAGAAAAATTGTCTTCACGGGCTTCTGAATTTATCTGGAAGGGTTTTATTGGCCTCTGACATAATTTTGAGTTACAAAGAATAGTTGGAAATTAAATTTTATCAGTGGTCTCTAAGAGGCACTCAGTCAGGGGATATGAGGAGAGCTTTGAAAATTAATTCTGTCTTGTTATCTGAGCAAAAACTTGCAGAACAGTCCTTTTTTCCCCCTATAGGATACTTTAGGCCATATTTTCAGGGTTTGCAGGTTTTATTAAAAGACTGTCAAAAAAAATCCAGTGAGTTGCACATTGTTTGCTGTGATTGTGCAAACTTTTCATATAAAACACTGAATTTCCTTTTTTTCTTTTAAAGATGCAACTTTAAAAAGAATGGCCACAGTTAGACATCTGTGACTAAGAACATTACCAAATTTGGTTGGGACTGGATTTAAGATTTTTAAAGCAGATATAGGGCACAAATAAATGAATAAATTGAAGGAGCAAATGCTGTGTAAAATCCAGAAAGGTGTTAGTTTCTTGCCAAAGCGTGGCCTGTTGTGTGTCTGCTTTTAGGGGTTTGTAGAAGAGAATCAGTACCACTGCAGCATCGTATAGCTACTGCCAGGATTTAGGGCAAGGATGAGGATCAGAGTGGGATCCTTGGAATGATGAAGTTGACTGTCACAAGGCAGTCCCTAAGGAGGGAGGTTCCTGCGTGGGCTTTTCAGATATGTCTGTAGATCTGTGGGTTTTGCAAGGCAGTGGTCTGGAACTCCGTCACTTGACCTTACATGATAAAACTATCAGCTGGAGCCATTCCATTCTGGAAATGTGAATGGTTTAAAGCAATCTCGGAGGGTGAGGCAACCCCTGAAGCAGGTTGCGGAGCGGTAGTTAAGGACTTGCCTTCAGCTCCCGGTACGGGGATGGTACCTGACTGTGCCAATTTATTCAGCACGTGATGGGAAGGCGCTGACGGAATGCAGCCTCCAGCCCTGGTTGCAGAGTGGTGGAGACTGGAAGGGATCTCTGGAGGTCACCTGGGCCAAGCCCCCTGCTCCAGCAGGGCCACCCAGAGCTGGTTGCCCAGGACCGTGTCAGGACGGCTTTTGTGTATCTCCAAGGTGGGAGACTCCACAACCTCCCTGGGCACCCTGTGCCGGTGCTCAGTAATGCTCACAGTACAAAAGTGCTCAGAGGGAATCTCCTGTGTTCCAGTGTGTGCCCATCGCCTCCAGCCCTGTCACTGGGCATCACTGAAAAGAGCCTGGCTCCATCCTCTTTGCACCCTCCTTTAAAGTATTTCTATACCCTATAGCTGCCACCAGGACACGGTTCATAGACATTCTTGCTCCCCATACTCTTCAGCTGCCCTGTAAGCAGGGCTGGGTTTCAGACATACATTTTCAGGAAAGAGGAAGGGGAATGATGCTGCTATAGGATGGGTGATGTGTGCATTCCTGAACTTCATGCATGTGTTTAAGAGATACCCTTGATGGAGATGATTTATTTGCAACCCATTAAGAAAAGGATTTATGTTTTTCTCCTGTAGTTGCTATCTACAGACTTGTCTAAGATCCTGTCCCTTTAACACTTAGTGTTTTAGCTATTTCACTCAAGCAGTAAGCAATCATCTCAGCTAATTGTTTACTTGTGATTCTTCTGGTAGCTCATAGAACTTGTGTGGTTGGGGAAAAGTGTAATCTCTTTATACTGACAATATGATCACGAGAGAATATGATTAATATAAAGTCAGTAGAACTGAAACAAATGACAGTGTTGCTATTATAGCTAGTACAGGCAAGACAGTAAGGATGGGAAGCCAGTATTCTGCCAGATAGGCTCTTGTTTTTTTGGCAAGTAAAATTCAGTTTTAAAGGTGAAGCATTATGCACTATATTATCATTCTTTTAGTGTGTTTAATAAAATTGTCGCCTTGGTAACTGGAGTCTTAACCACTGCAATCTATTGTAGATCCTTTTGGAGACTTGAGGAAGTGCTTTGGGTACACTTATGTTATAAGGACTACCACTAAAAACTTAAATATTGAGGAGCTGTGGTGTTGCAGGCTTCCTGATGATGGCTGTAGAGTGTTCCTTCATTTGCTGAGGAAAAAAAAATTTTCAGCGGCATTTTTATCAGAGGCTCATTAGGGATGAGCACAGCAGTGAGAAGATGAGCTGTCATCTATTGTTCCATTTTACAAATTAAGCCATTCTTCTACTGATATGTTCGAACCTTATCCAAATATCCCTGCAGGCAGAATTGCACAACATTCCACCCTCCTTATCACAGCACTTCTCCCTCTTGTCTGAGATGTCTAGAGATTAACAAACCCTTACAGTGGATGGGGGGATTAAGAAAAAGGCCTCATTCAGAAAATTTGTAGAATAAAAGTAAGCTGTATCATGCTGTCTGACACCAAAGCTGTATAGTATTTAGAAAATCTAAAAGCAGAGGTGAAATTATTAGAAAGGGGAAAAATGCTGTGTCTCTAGCCCAGCCAGTGTCTGAAGTGGTAATTACTTTGATATATGATCATCCCTGTGTTGGAGTTTGTGGAAGTTAATGGGCTTCTGTTGTCTGAAGAAATACTTTAAATGAGATACTCATGGTTGTATTGGGCTGAAGAGGGCTGCTAAAAACCCTGTTTACAAGCATTAGTACTAATCTGAATGATTTACTGTGACACCTCTTTGTCAGGCTTTGTCTTGCTTGCTTCCAGAGGGTGAAGCTGTAAGCAGAATGAGTTGCATTTTAGGACTGCAGTGGATTTCCCATGTTCTGTGTTTTCTCTTTGCCAGAGAAGCTGAAGGACGATGGATCTTGAACAAAACTTTGTACTCCTGGTATCTGCTCTGTGCAGATGCTTCATGTGACCGTGATTTGGTGCACACGAAAGGCTAAGCAATGGGTCTGGTGGGGGGAGTTTTTCCATGCTTATCCCTGCAGCCTGGACTTCAGCAGCATGAAAGAGGCCTCATCTACAAAAGCTGTATGGCAGCATGGCTAACAGGAGGGTAGATGGGGACAAGGGAGGGAGGAGATTTGCAGAGAACAATGTTTTCTGTGTCCTTTTTTTGCCAGGCACTTTATCTTTCATATGGTTGATGGCTCTCCTCAACACACAGAGTTTGCAGTAGAGCTGTCGTGATCTGCTGTCATAGATGACACCAGTAGATCTTTTTGCCTCTGTATTTAGGTAACCACTTGAGAATGTGGATAGGAAGGAGGCAAGAAGTATGTCTTGTTCCTGCACTATGTATGTACATGGCAGGAGCCCTGACCTCGCAGTGACTGGCTGTGAGCAGCACCAGGGAAGAGAGAAACTTGGGAGTGGAGGCAGCTGCGGATTACAGCTGAGGGGTAGCAGAATGTATAGGTGAAGGGTGTGAAGAACATTGGTGTTGTGGTCCCAGCAGTTTCCACTCCTGAATTATAGTTCTAATTGTAGTGTCCTTAGCTTTTTAAGGCCTCGCCTTCAATGATCATGGTGATGGTAGGGTAAAGGGAACACTGAATGTGTGCGCAAGAGCAGTTATGGTCTCTGTGTGCGTTTGCTGGACACTCTATGGATTTGAGATTAAATAAAAACATGGTTTAGCCAATCCTCTTTTCTGGGTATGTATTTATTGTTTAAAAGTTAAGCCTGTGACTTCGTTCCCTCCTTTGACCAGAGGGAACAAAGTGGATAGAAATTAGTGGACTGCAATCAATATCTAAACTTCTGCAGTTGAGAAACACCTTGTAGAAAGTAGTCCTGCACCTAACCCTGTTTTAGAAACTTGAAGTGAGAGTTCAGATCTACTGACTAGTTTTGAAACACCTAAGAAGTATACTTCTCTGGAGGGGGCAGCCATCAGCCATGGATCTCATTTACTTCTTGCTGGGCTGTTTTGTCAGATCTTAAGTGTTGATTGTGCTCCAATTGTTTGCCTGTGTTAATATGTAGACGTGTTACATTTTTTCATCTGTTACTCTGCCAAGGAAACTAACAAATCCTTCTCTTCTG